GGGGGGGGTGTAGGGGATTGGTGTCATACCCCTACAGTATATTCCATTCATCCATTCCAATTTTTATGTGGTCAAAACGAGTAGCTCAGCACGTAGCATGTACTTTGCAGCAAATGATGAATATATAAGAAATAAAAGTCGACTTGCTTCTTTTGACTTCCAGAATGAAATTCTTGCCATATGTGTAATACAAAGTTGTTCTTTTTAGGTCATCTAACCCAAAGGGTCAGGATGACCTAAAGTCATCGTGCTTCGTCCGTCGTTGTCCACCGTGCGCGGTCTGTAAACTTTCAACAGTTTAAACTTCTTCTCAAGTTCAACTAGTGGGATTGAGCTGAAACTTGCCTGAAATGATCCTGAGATGGTCCTGACCAAGTGTTGTTATTTTTCAAGAAAGGAAATTGCCTAAAATCCTGCTTTCCAACACTACTCGTTAATGCCAAAAGTAGATTACAACAATTTCAGTATGAAACATCATTTAGAAACAATCATTCCTTAAATAAATGAGGCAGGATTAACCACCGTTGACAGCGGGACGGGGCCTTCAAAGGAGAAATCTATTCAGATTTAGGTTTAAATGCTTTCTGATAGCTTTACTGACAAATAGTTACCCAATGCTGACCAAAACTACCACCATGGAAAACAAATTCTTAGAATATTTCATTGAAAGTTGAAAAGTTACCTTTCTCCCTGCTCAGTCTTTGTAGTCAGATGATCATTTAGGCCCATGGGCCTCTTGTTTAACTTGATATCTGTTCTGGTACAGCTGTATATGGTAATGCTATTTTTAGGTTACCTGAGCTTTGCTCAAATGACATATTCCGATCACTTTCCGTCCGTCGTCGTCCGTCGTGTGTAAACTTTTTACATTTTTAACTTCTACTCAAGAACCAGTGGACGGATTTTTTTCAAACTTGGTCAGAATCATCCTTGGTAGATGAGGCTACAAAATTGTAAAATTGGGACTCCTTCCCCAACCCCTGGGGCCATCGTGGGGCCCCAAAGGGAAAATTAACCAATATTTCAAAAGTCTCCAGACTCGGAGGTACTACAGTCACTTTCTCTGCATGGATGGAAATATCACCAGGGGCTTTATTTAAATTGTAAATTTCAGGACCCCGAGCTATTGTTCTCACTTGGGGAGGGGGTTAAGTTTACTTTATATAATTTATATAGGGAAACAACACTTTTGGGTATATTTTTCAATTTTCTGTAGGAAATAATTCTTACTTGGTGAGAATTATCTGCCCTAGCAGTTAGTTTGGTGCATGTATTATTCCGGTTAGATTGAATTGACAGAAATGCTGTTTATGTTATGAATAAATAGCTAAAACTATTAATCTCTCTAGTATCTTTGTCCGAGTTTGAACACAGATGAACTTATTTTGTTATGTTAATGGGCATGTATCGGAGAGAGTTGCTATGAGCCCCTCCAAGGGATAACTGTTGTGATGGCCACGGCGTATTCTGTACTCTCCTCTGTCGGTACTCGGGGTCAAATGAGGTACGTGCGCTATTAGATTTACATAATTTATAATATTCCCGAGTTCAGTAAAATGGTATGATTTAATTATATTGCTGAAGTAAACAATCTTTTTTGTATTTACATGCAAGATTTAAATTAGAACTAATATGAATACCCAGCCTCCTCTGCCCCAGCCGGCAAAATATATTAAAAAATCTCTCTGCGTCAGAAAGCTACGTCATCGCAGCTAGATTTAAATATATCAAAATGACAGTTCAGGATGAAAAACTGAGGAAGGAGAACCTACTTATAGTAAATAGGATCACATAACAAAAATATTTTTTAAATCGCAATGATTCAACAGTTCATGTTTTCACATGATGTTGACTTAGAATGTATGATCATGTAACAACCTTTTCTTTATAAATAATCAATATTCAACTTCAGATAGAATTGGAATACGCATTGAAAAATGGGGGGAAAATCATTTGTTTACGTTGTAAAAATGACGCATGCTGCCGATAACTACAGCTTCTGTTTCAGACAAAAAAGAACTGATTAAAGAAAAGTTGTCTCAACATAAAAAAGGGTCCATTTACAAGTATGCTTTAATCTTTGTAAAGTATTAAAAAAAATATAATTATCAAGTGCCTCAACATGTTCCATATCTGACACATATTCTACATGTACACGTAGTGGTATTGCCATACAGTTTAGTGCGTGTGATGGCTAATATGACTTACTAAGTGTTAGCATATGGAGACAGTGAAAGTGGGAAAGAGAGTTATACATACATTTATATGCATGGTCTAGAAAAAAAGTGGCCAAAGACATTGAGTTGTACAATGTAATAAAAAAAAAATCACAAATGTTTCTCTTTTTTATACTTTTCATTGCATAAATGCACTTTATGAAAACATTTGAAAAGGGATATTCGTCTCGTGAATATTCCTTTTTACAGAAAGGTTTGTCCCATGGTTGAGGGAAGGTGTTTAGCCCCGTACCATCTGTACCGGTCACATTCCTGTAATAGATATTTCCTGGTGTCTGTAAATAATGCTGATATGCCAACAAATATTTCTTCATTTAAATTCTGAATATTGGCAAGTGTGCAATTAAATTCTGATGATGAATAATAACTGATTCAATAAGTTTCAACACAGACTTAGAAATCATATTAACTGGTTTCATAGTGCGGTAAGAAGTTGCAGTTGCCTAACGTCCCCTCTCTGGGGGCCCCTTTGGAAACTTTTCATCTCCGTCAGACCATGTTTACTGCCTCGTTTCAAAACCATCAGGGGACGTTATTGGCGCTATTTTTAAAAGGGCTTTCCCGAACAATTCAAGTGGTCAAACTGGACATTTGGAACAGAATATGAATATGGGGATAGCAAGGTAACATAAGTGGAAGTGCATACAATACATATATTCATTAAAAAAAATATAGCTTTTTGCGTGAAGTCCCTTTAACAAGAAATTTGTGTAGAAAACTTTTCTATATTTATATATATAGGATAATGGTAATTAACAGAGTGAATATTTGTGTCCTTCAGAATAAAAGAGTTGGACGCTCCTTGACTGTTAGCTTGCGATACCAAGGCAACCCTTCATCTGTGACCGCCTCAAGAGCATGCGCACTGACACGATACGATACAAAAAAGATTCAAGAGGACACACTCGCTCTTCTACAGAAATTTAATACCTCTGCTCCACATCAGGCTGCATGGTAAGGCTCCCTCAATACCTCTGCTCCACATCAGG